GCATGCAAAGAAGTATAGTAGCTGCAACGTTTACTACCTCACTTGAGGTATTACTAACTTTTTCGTATTCTTGTTAGTAAAGAGTTGAAATGTTGAGTAGTTGAAGGTATTGAAATACAAATTCTATACTTGATCACGGTCTCTCTCTTCACCAAGCCCAGGGGTATTATTTTCCCTCTTCAGTCTTTTTTGTCACTGCCCCTAAGCGTACCGTGGGCGTTGAAATCCCCTCCTTAAACAAATGGTTCTGGAATTTGCGTCATTAAGACCTTAATTTCTCGTAAAGTTACATGTTCATGAGGGGCAACGTAAACAGAGCAAATGGAGATGGTTTTCTGCGCTATGATACTAACTGCAACGGTATCAAAAGAGGTGTTTAATGCGATGGCTCGAGTGGGAATGGCGTTTTTTACAACGATGGTGACTCCTTCCGAGAGTCGATTGGCAAGTTCACGATCCTATCAAAAAACGTTTAACCCTTTCAGGAAGTTTATGTTTTTTGGACCAGAATTTCGGATTAGAATTTCAAATTGAGTATTCAATCTTACCTATACGGGGTAATTTGATTAATATCTGATACATAAAGCCGGAGCAGAATAAGGTTGACCATAATGCACATTTTCTAGGAGCATGGAAACACATTCCTGAATTATTAGTCTTTGCGCGAACGCATTCACCGTGAGATTACGACAGTCGAAGCAGTTAGCGCCGGCCTTTGCTTCACTGGGCAACTTCGTAAGACAAAGATGACGCTCTACAGAATAACTTCCTTAATCGTGGCTTCGTTGTAACTCCGTGAGCACTTTACTCGCTTTGTAAGCTTAATGTGTTGAATCATATCGTATTTGAAATTAACCACTCGAACAAGTGGCTACGCGTTATGTAGCTGAACTCATTATGTGACCAACTATCGCTAGTACGTAGGTCACCACGAAGGAACAAGCGACGCCATTTGATCCTCACCCAGAATGAGAACGGTTACCAAACGAAGGTAGTCCGATCGGCAAGCAGGTTATCTGTGCATATGAGCAACGCTAGTGAGAGTTAGAGTTGTGAAATCGAGCCTTCAAATCGAAGGCCTCAAGAGCAGATAGACGGTTCGAGATCACCTTGTACTCGGGGAACCTGCACCGCCGAAAACAGCTACACGTTGAAACAGTTCAGTGATTCAGTGGGGGGCAACAAAGCAATGGTAATGGTGAAAGCAGGTAATTCGGAGGCTGTGATGTGAAGATTGGCGAATGAATTTACGACGAAATTATTGTAGTGAATAATTAACCAGCTTCGTAAACGTCCAGAGTGCATCGATACGGCACGTGTAATATTCTCGCAATATTTTCACACCAGTGCGCCTGCCGTTACATACTGCTGCTTTCAAAAATATTCTATTGAATATGTGGCAATACCTCAACTGGAAACAGTGTCTGCGTTTCACTGCCCATTAGCTTGGCGATGTTTCGTGGAGAAACGCCGTAAAAAACTAACGTAAACTATGCTCAAGAATTTAAAAGTTTCAGTTGACCTACACATGCAACTGCGCTACAAACAAGCTCCTTATTCTCACGTGTAAAGCATGTTGAAAGAAATAGACGTGCAAACGCGCACACGAGTGAAAGATCAATGGAATGTATACGTCAACTAACAACCGGAAAAGGAGTGCAGTGGTGCAAAAGAAGGCCGACAAAAAAACTCTTCTGCACATGCCAAGAGAAAAAGTAGAAGCAATGAAATCAGTGCGCGTGCTTTTTTATGTGAGAGATGACTGTTCAGGCGTTAAGGGCCGTTCCACGCGCTTCCCGCACAGCCGCAATGCACGTGCCGGGACCCCTACCGCACACAAGCGGGGAACAAATAAGCCAATTGGCGACGCTCTTTCACCCTCCGCAGCGTCGCCAATTGGCTTATTTGTCCCCCGCTTGCATGCGGCAGGGGTACCGGCACGTGCGTTGCGGCTGTGCGGGAAGCGCGTGGATCGACCCTAAGCATTTACGATAGGTAATCGTGAGTTGGCTCGTGCATGAGCAGGCACTTTATCGATGTGCAAAGCTCCGGCCATTAGGCACGTTTTGTCATTTATACACATCGTTATCCCATCAAGCCTGGGCATGCACAGATGAGTATTTGTGTGTACCTTAATATCCCACTGATGTTAGCCTTTTGCAGTTATTATTTGGCGTTGGTGGCGTCTTGGCATGTCTTTTTTTTTGCGTCTGTATTTGCACGCCAGTGTCTCGAACATCAATACCTACCAACTTGCCCAGCTATATATAATTGTAATAATTGTAAACGTGAACCTATGCAACGACACTTGTCGAAATTGTCCTTGTGCATAAATTAGAAGCCCATTAGTTCACTAACATGCAAGTTAGCAGCTGGCTCTGCCTCAGTGCTCAAACCTTTATACCGACAAATAACATAAGGCCAGTACTGTACATGCCAATTCTTACGAGACATTAGAACACATTGTATGCAGGGCGGCCGACATTCCTCTGGAGCAGCTACTGCTACTAAAGAAACCCAGTCCAGTTGGAATAAGGTCTGCAACCTTCAACGGTGGTCTGTTTTCTACAAGACGTGCTGCTCCTCACTATCAGACAAATCATATCCAGCTTTCTTTTTTTGAAAGTGGCGTAATTTCCCGTTCGCCGATCTTTTGTGTTCCTATATTATGCCTGCCTGCATTTCGTCTAGTTCCGCTGTACCCGTCCTGCTAACATAAATCCCGCATTTCCGCGCTATCTATTTTTCTATTTCTTATGATTATAAGCAGGCGTTGTCCCCCTATTGGTGGTACTTAAGCGGTCCAGTATCTCTCTGTTTTCTTCCGGTCCTCTATGTATAGATACTTGGTTACTATATTTCATTATATTGTTAAATAATAATATTGACATCCCTATTACAAATTGTTATATCACTGCACTATATCAGCCATATGTTGCGAGACCACAACACCAAGCAAGAAATCTTGATATCTTTAGCATGACTCCACAGTATAAGATTGCTTTAGTGTAGTGCACTGGCCAAACTCGGACGCTTAGAGTGTACCTTATGATTAGAGTAAACATGCTGTAAACATTCCCAAGCTGTAGTTGTGGAATCCGCATCACCAATGTTACCGGATTTTTGAAATGAAGTTTCATACTCTCCCTCCTTCTCTTCCTTGCGGCAATCAATGGCTCCCAAACGTTGGTCCTAGTCGTTTTAGCATATTATGTATTGCAAAATGATTTCTTACTTCTGTATTATCTCAGTAATGACTTCGGGGTCATCAGTAGCGATGAACACACGCTTCTGGACTTGCTGGCCCCTGAGCGCCAGGGAGCTGTAGAACTCTTCAGCGTGCTGCATGTACTCGGTCACGTCATGGAAGGCTGCTTCCTCCTTCTTGTCCGTGCGCCGAATATGTATGCTGTAACCCATCAACAAACGGAGAAAAAATGTCGATAAGCTACACGATAGCCTCCCATTATAAGTGTACTGATTTTAATATCTACCCATCAACCACAAGCGTAGTCCGAGGAAGGCACTGAGAAAATTGAAAACATCCTCCACCCCTGAAAAACTAATTTTGTAGGTACATACATGAATAAAAATTACAAATGTGCGCAAGAACATGGGTGGTTAATACATTGGGAGTGACTAAAGATAATTCTACTTTCAACGCACTGTATTTTAACGGCACAGCTGACATATAGTGAAGATAAAGGTGGTGAATAAAGCGCAGGCAATATCTGTAGATGTCCATCTTGAAGGGTAAGTTGGCATACGTTACTTCGATGACAAACAGCTTTAAATCGAGACGGAGGGGTTTCTCACGTGCTAGCACAAGCGGTCGGAGCGTAAGCTCTGCGAAGTGTCCTCGCCTACAGGAAAGGGAACATCTGCGTCTGTTCAATGACTGCCCTCGAAAAGATATATCATTAGTCATGCTAACAACGTTACATCGACACGTGGTGGCCAATGAGGCTGTTGCTTTCTGTCAATATGTGCACTTAGTGGCTTTCTCAATTCTGTTTTTTTCTCTTATACGCTCAGAGATATTTTACTTTAGGAATAAGCTTGCACCCAGTTGTTCCCAGCGATTTTTTTATCTTCCTCTTCCCCACTATTCCGTCTTAACGCAGTTCTTTTTAGTAATCAATGAATATCTGTGCTCGTGCAAATACCATTTAAAGTTACTTTTTCCGAATCATTATTACAATACATTTCTAGGGGAGGGGATGAGTCACTCTACTCTAATTAGGAGGAGGTTCAGGGCTCTTGGAAGCTATCGCGGTGTGTTAGTCGAAGATTCCGTGTAAATTTGCCATAACTCACGCTACTATAGGATGCTTGTAGTCATTTTTCATCTTGAAATCTTCTATAAGCTTGCGTGTCGAGTTCTGTAGCCGGAAAATGTAAGCCAAGATCTGGCCGTACCACCAGGCGTAAGGTTCACCGTGGTTTGCCACCAAGTCCTTCGCAAATGACGCGGGTAGATCCCGCATCCGACTTCTCGTCTTCAGGCCTGAAAAAAAAAGAAAACCTGCTAAGGTGGTACAATACAGTGGCTGGGAATCAAAATTGATAAAAGTCACACGTAAACCTCTAGGACGAGGCAATAAATGCCATAGAAATATAATGGAAGAAACCGTGAAGCGACGGGTCGCCGGCTCCAACCTGTGGGCCAGTGCTGCGGGCCAGTGCTTCAGAGCTCCTCTTAGAATAACCTTGTCAATGGTCACGCGTACCCGAGGGAAGAACAGACGAGAAAGAAGAGAGGACAAAATAAATGAATGACCATTTCTCATTTCATTCCCTAAATGGCGTTACACTGCCGCTGCTCTCCCATTGGCTGCTACGCGCGCTTTGCCTAAGTGTGCGGAGAACGAGTGCCTCTTTCAGTCTCCTGGATAGTCACCATACGTGGCCGATCATTGGTGGGGCATGGACGAAGAAGAGCGGCAGGCGCGTCGAAAACGCTTGCTCTCGGCTTCCTTGGCTCGTGTCTCGTCGGTGTTTCCTGTGCGCCGTGTGCATTCCCGAACGAGATCGGATGCATGGACGGATGAATGGGCGTACGGACGTTTCGCCTCACTCATCATCAATCACCCCGTGTATATGCTGTGATGTTTTTCTTTGTGCCATATATATATATATTGTGATGAGCGAGACAGAGAACAAGAGAGAACACCCGATCCTGGGCCAGCTGTTCTTATTCTGACTTCGTTCTTCTCTTCCTCGCCTAGAATGCGCGTCTGTGCCAAAGTGCCAGTTTCGGTCTTCGTCGTCACACTCGGCCATGAGTGCAAGCATTGTCGATGAGCCACACGACAATCTTCATGTGGGTGAGGCTAGCTGCAGCAGTTGACATTGCTTCAGGTGGGCGGGGTTGGCTGCATCGTCGTGGTCGGCCCCGACCACGCTGGAAGTTTGTCGAAATTGGCTCCGGCGGCCGACACTGGCTATGTCGCCCGGGTCGTTCGCCATGTCGTGGTGGGGACTTGGTCCTGGTTGGTTTCTTTGTTGATGACTCCGCAGGTGGCAGTCTACAGCCTCGGCCACACTGCGACTTTTCAGAGAAAGTAGTTCGATTCCGCTTTTCCTTTGGTGGACCGAGCAGGCATTCTCGTGGTAGAAGTTTCCTGCGGTGGTGTGGTTTTCTTGGAGGTGGTGGGGCGGCACGTGAGAATGCGGATATCATTGAGGCAACGCCGTCGAGCCGGTCTGAGAGCGGCAGGAGGGTGCCCCAAAGCTGCTTGCGTTGCTCCAATGGGCTTGCCTCAAGGTCGTGCGAGGCAGCTACATCCAACATGGCGTTAGTGGCACGCAATTCTGGCAACATTGTAGGAGCTCGCTCGGAGATTGACGCTGTTAGTTCGTTAGTCTTGACGCGGAGTAACGCGATGGTACGCCGCAGGTTCGCGGCGCTGTCGTGTGTGAAGTCCGAAGCGATGGTGATCGCGGTCTTCGAATGAGTAGCGGTTGCAGCACTCACGCCGGTGAGGTTGACGAGCAGAGAAGCCTGGACGGCGTTCCCTGGCAACTCGTATGTTGAAAGAGTGCGGCAACGGGAATGTAGGCCATGGGAAGCGTGAGCGGCATTCCCACAGGACCGGAACTGGTGCGGTACCCTGCCGCGATGCGGTGGCAGGGTGTCAATAAGGTCACGCCCTACAACCCCAGGGGAGGCCTGGACGCCGTCCACTGGTGGTTCGAAGGGTAGCTGAAGCGGCGGGTGGGACCTCATTGCCAAGGAAGCGTGAACGGCGTTCCTCGATGGAGAAGCCCGCACTGCCGACGAACCACGAAGACACGTACCGGTGGCTTCCCGCAGAGGGTTCACTTGTCGGCTTGCGCTGATGGCAGAATCCATAGCCAAGGATGCGTGGATGGCGTCCTTGTGAAATGGTACCGGTAACGTGTACTGAAGCCGCCGAGGAGGCCTTGACGCCGTCCCCGAACGGTGGTGGCAGTGTCGGCAGGTAAACAGCTGCCAAGGAGGCCTTGACGCGGTCCTCAAGCGGCACTTATTGCAGCCGTCCTGGATGACGAAGTCGGGACGTACGACGTCTTCTTCGTCGACTGCGCCATTGTGATGAGCGAGACAGAGAACAAAAGACAACACCCGATCCTGGGCCAGCTGTTCTTATTCTGACTTCGTTCTTCTCTTCCTCGCCTAGAATGCGCGTCTGTGCCAGAGTGCCAGTTTCGGTCTTCGTCGTCGCTATATATATATATATATATATATATATATATATATATATATATATATATATATATATATATATATATATATATATATATATATATATATATATATATATATATATATATATATATAACGTCAAGACAGGGCAACGCGAAAATCTGTCATGATTCTCCATAAAAGTGCTCTCAAAATGAAAGGTCAATTTCGCCGCAAGAGCAAATGAATGCGATAGCAACAAATCGGAATAGGATGCGAGAATGGCAAGCAGATCAAAACGTGCAGCGCGCTTCTCAGGACGTATGACGCACGAAAAGAACACAGATACGACAAGAGCGAACTAACAACATTCACAGCTCAACATTTACCGTACTGCTCAAATAAAAACGACGCACGCGACGTACTCACATGTAGAGGTGACCGCAAACTATCTAATGTCACAGTTACTTCACTATGTCTGAAAATTGCGCTGTTTAACAATGCACGAAGATTAACGAAGGGCTGCGAAAAAGGACGACGCCAACTAAAACACCCCCTAAAGCAGCATGCCCTGCAGCGCCATGGGTAGCCGCCCTGCTCAGCGCGGCTTCAAAAGACCAGGAGTGGGCCGTCCAGTGGGCCAGGACCATCGCCGAGGACCTCGAAGTATGTACCTCGAACGGTGGATCCTTGGAAGCCTAGCCACGGACACAGCCGTTGAGCAAATAAAGTTCATTCAACTCAACTAGCAAACGGGGACTGTGCAACGAGGGAAGTGACTTTTTTTCACCCGGTAACTACGACGCAATCGTTCCGGTGAAAGCCCAAAGTGTACGATTCTCCCCCGCCTCGAGATAACCGCGCGCACTCTCAAGCACCTGAGCCCGCCCACCCCCGTCCCAGTGGGGCAAAGTACGCGTTGAATATGAGCGCCTGAGCACGCGTCGATACGTCGTGACCAGCGCCATTTCGTTAGTAATGCTAAAAACACGCTCATGTTTCTTCCGAGATTGGCGTCGCCAGCGGTAAGTGATGTATAGAAAAACAGTTTGCCGTTTGGAACATAGTGACCACGTGCCCTAATGACTGGAACGCCACGCACTGGAAAGCGAGAGGTCGCACATTTTATACCCCACGCCGAGACATATTTTCCGAATTACTTCGTTTTAGGAGTTTGCTTCTTTCGCTTGGGGGTTGTCAGTCGTCTTTGCGCCGGTGTGTACGCTTATTGCTCCCGCTAGAAGCGCAGCTGTGCCTTCGTTTCAAGAGCACTCACTAGATGGCGCGCCGCCCCTCAAGCGACGCTCGCTCCACTCTCGGTGCGTTCTCTAGTTCGGTAAGAGACTGCTAGGTGGCCGCGCCTCTGTAGCGCTCGCTTTCGGCGCGCTTCCTTTCTCTTTCGCCGGACATCACTCAGTGTGCGGCTATACCGCTACCCACTATGAACACCGCAGAAGCCAAGGTGGTGACGGGGAGGGCTCGAAATGCGACTGCAACGCGGGTTCACCGTCAGGATCCTTCTCTAACTTTCATCTACGCCCTTTTGTGTCACGTTGAAGCATTCCTTTTTTCCCCGTGGTTATAAAGATGTGGAATGACTTGCCTAATGACGTCGTCAGTGCGCAATCGCATGAATCATTTTCGTCGCTGCTGGAAACTGATTTAGAGGCATTGCATTAGGTTTTGCGGTATCTGTGCGCCAAATGAAGGGAGCAACGACGCATTGCGCATGTACTTGCACATTGCTTCACGTGCTTAACCGCCTCCATCTGTGCATCAATTATGTTGCCGTTTGATGTTATCACACGCTAACTAGTTTTTTTTTTTCAGTGAAACACATATTCAATGTTCGTTTATTGCTTTTATGCTGTTTTGGGTGCCGTGTACTGCTTATTTTCTTATTCTTGTCATCTCCGCAATGAGAAGTCTTATTTTCTTTGTATGCCCTCTCCTGTATGAGGCTGAAAAGACCCACAGTGTTGAATAAATAAATAAATAAATATCCTTTAATTCAAGATCCTCTGGCTTTGTACTTCACGATCACAAAGGCATTATACTAAAAAGAAAACGTTCCTCCGGGCTTATGTGATTCGTAAATAAGCTCTTGAAGAAAATGAATATACTGCATCAGTATGTTACTATCGGTCTATAGTAAATTGATATGTAAATAATTAAAATTGTGTGAGCAACGTGTATATACAATCACACCTTAACAACTCTCGTGTCACGTTTTTTTAAGATGCTGGTTAAGCATATGTACAGAGAATCAACGGTTTACGGTATTTAACTTCTGGAGAAAGCTCTTTCATCATCATTCCCTTCGTGGATATATGGGGAATTTTTTTTCTGTCTCGATATAAGTATACGGGTATGACGACGGTGAAAAACGGCAACGCCAACGGCAAAAACCAGTGGAGAGTATCCATATGATTGCTATCGCTATAAAATTAAAATTAGCGGAGCCATCAGCTAATTCAAACAGCGTTTAAGAGACGTTTACTCCTAGTGAGGGAGTAAAATAACCAGTATGGTAGCATGACCAAGCTCAGCGACTTTTCTTAACGACGCAGTTAAAAACTGGTCTCAAGACGCCCATGAACATATTGAATTAAAGACGAAGAAAAATGTCTTCGTACTGAGGCTGCCTCAGCATACAATGTTATTGTCTTATGAGCATTATATTTAGAGCTTAAACTGCGCTGGGGACGAGACACATGACGAGAAGGCAAAACGAACGTTTTTTCTGCTTTAATTTCCCACCTCATGAGCAGTATTACTCAAATTAATGGCTTATCAATTAGCCCCACCCCCGCATACACACGTTCATTGTGATATAGACGACTAGAAATGTTCACATTAACGACGACGACATAAATGAAAACACGCACAGAAGAGCAGGTTCCAGTGGGAACGCGTTTGTTTTTCGATTGTGGCTCAAGTTTACAACATATCGTATCAACTAGCGCACGTCAAAGCGCTCTTAGAGAGCATGTATAAATGTTTCTCAAAGGGATCTATCTAGAACACAGTAAAAAAATATCACAGCATATCCACGAGTTGAATGATGACGGGTGGGACGAAGCGGACGGACGCACGGACGGACGGGCGGATAGACGAACGAATGGAAACCACGGACGGACTGACGGACGCTTCGCCCCACTCATCATCATTCACTTCGTGGATATGGTGTGACACCGTTCGCATTGCATATACATGCAATGCAACTGGTTACTACGACGACTATGACGACACGGGGCATACGACTCACGGTGTAACGATCTTCGCCCGTAAAATCAAATATATTTATTATGCCCTTTGACATTGCGCACATTTGTGACTACCATCTTTCATCTCGGAGGTCCGGACGAAGAGACGGACGTTTCAGCTTATTTCTTTCACCCGTATCCACTATTCTCCCTGGGATGCGAAAATGGCGGTGCCATTTTCAGTTTTGGGAACGCAAGCGGCTATATAGCACAAGCTCGTGTTGACACTATCGTGTCATTTGAACAGTTCGCATCATTGTAGCCTTATAAGTACGCCATTAACTTGAACCCCGTTTTCGCCGCGCATGTGGTGTTACACGTTGTTTCAATTGACATGTATATTGGAATCAACATTGGTGCAGCAGGTAGTTGAATCACTGACCCCATTCGTGTCCGGGGTAGCCGTCGACTACCATGTTTTGGGAGCCAGCATTCTCGCAGGAAGGCCCGGCGACGGGTTGGAGCACCTCTGTCCAGCCCCTGTCATTTGGAGTATAGTGCCACGGCGTGCTGTTGAGAATCAGCGTGCGACCCATTTGCAGGGCTGCCACAAAGCACCAAAGGACGTCATGAGCACCGGCCGCCAGTCCCGACGGGTTGTCCAGGAGGCAACGCAGCTTGGGCGCTGATTTGCAGTCAGCAGGGTTCTGCACAGCGAGGAAAGAAAAAAAATGACCGCGTATCTGCGTACTTCACTGCATGCAAATGTTTTTGAAAAGTCTTCTGCCAGGAGGCGCTGTATATGCTACCTTATAAGGTAGCGGAGTAGCGCAATCGTTTTACCACGCCGTTATCAACCATGCACTGCGGAGAAGCTGCTGCACAGTCAACACCACCGGAAGCTGTCGCCGTCCACCTGGAATCTAACAAGTGACCATCGTGCACTCTTAAGCTTGTTGGCTGTGAACTAGTGTTTTTATTTGCTTAATATTCATGTCCTTAAGCATCGACAACAACGTATTTGAGTTGGTTCGGCACTATTTTCGAAAAGCGTGCTGAAATAATCGGTGCTGTACCCTTATTGGGCCGCTCCTTGAATCTCTGAGGACCTAATTTCGTGTTTGTGAGTTTTCGCTCATCTTCCATAGCTTACACCACTTGGCTATGCGGCAGCGGTGATGCATGTTAATACGCTACGCCTTCGTACCTTGCGTTACCGGACAGACTGAAAAATGTCTTTGAACTCTCGTGAGAAAGCACCGAAAACAGGTGTTTCTTTGTGCTTCACCGGCCATTGACATGCCAGGCAATCCGACTGCCGATGGGTGGACACTCTTCGTCGATCGGCTACAGTATTAAGTCGCCCGCAAAAACAGAGCGTGGCTTCGCTGCGTAACTATGGTTGGTAAGCAGGCAAGATGCTGGACGTATGCGCTACTCTGCTCCCGTAGGGAGCACATACAATGACTTTACGCTGTCGTGATTTCGTTGCCACAGAAACTATTGTACACGAGCGCAACGTCCGGTCATGCTCTGTCTCTACCTCCTGCGGCGACGCAGACGATTCAGAGACCAAGTCGTCACGATTGCCCTATTCTCCAGGACTTTAGGTCTACGGAAAAATTGTCCAAAGTGTTACGTGTGGATATAGCTAGTTGGGATCACCTCGAAGAGCAATGGTGTCGCCATTGCAGTGAATCGGGCAAGGGACTTCGCGCCCGTGTGTCCAAGGGCGCTTCAGTTTTAATCCTAAATTATCATACTCTCGCATCGCATTGCCAGTGTCTGCATCGGATACACCGCCCCGTCGCGGTGGTCCAGTGGAAAGTGATGTCAAAGCTGCCCGACACTTCAACCTCCCCCTCTTGGAACGCCGGTGCTTATCTCAATCGGTATACCTCGGAAATCTCTGGCGTCTTTGTCATAATGTAAAACCACAGCTCTACGTCTCCAGCAGAGAAATAGTTGCGGGGCTGTTCAGCGTTTGGCGAAACCGATGCGAGGCCTTGGCTGGGAATTGCCACCATCGTGCTTTGTGGCCGATACTTGGGCGAATGAGACGAGAGATCCTCGCGTTACTGTCTGAGGAGCTCTTCTTCCTAGGGCAGCGCAAGGTCCCGTGGCATTGGCCATGCCCCTTCGTCAATGTGGAACACGAAAGGGCGCAACTCATTTTTCGACCAACGTGGTATGAAACAGCACCCGTTCACTCGTTGCTTAAGCCTTCATTTGTAACCAAATGTTTCATTCCATCTGTTGTATTGTTGTACCATTGTATTCACTGTATCATTATATCCCATAAAGCTACTTTGTACGTGCATGCCACGTCTGCCTTGTATATCAGACTAATTATGCCTTCACTACGGCAGAGTGATGTCCAACATGTGTGGTGTGCTCCTTTTTACTGAAACGTCATCATCGTCTTGTTTTACAGTGAAAGCTGCTTTGAGATCAAAACTCGAGTTTCGCGGGTGCCGTAGTTGTCCGCCACCGCCGCCGCCACTGCCGGTGTCCGTAACCATATCACACAAATTTGAAGAAAAACGTCGTGTCATTGACCAGTGGGAATATAACCCGGGTGCGCTAGTTGCCAGCCCAGTATTCTACCACTGAGCCACACCAGTGCTTGGGACTTGTTGGAGGACTTGCTTTAGGCAGGCCTGATTTCGAGAATGCAATCGCGTTCATACGACTTCGAAAGCATTTAACAGATAAAGAACAACCAGTCGTCGCATGATCCGAATAGCATAACGAGGGGGTCGTCCAATGCTCCAAGCCACGAAAAAAGCTTGTTCTTGCTCACCCATTAACTGTGACGTTAACCAACTTCAGGCAAAATTTCTCATCGTCGTTTGCCACGGCATGAACAAAATTTCTCGCAAGTGTTTAGCGGATACAACGCTTCTCAGAAGAATGGCGAAAAATAGCATAGCGTATGCCAGCCTTAGACAACCCAATTTTTTTTAATTATTAATGCTGTAGTTGGTATAAAGCAAGTGTGATTGCAGCACTTACCCAATGAGTGTTTAGAAAAGCTCTGAAAGGCCGCTCTTTTAGATTTCGCTGTGACTGTGCTGCACCTTCCGCCGCAGGCCTGGCGTCTTTTGTACATAGTGCAATTAAGCTTTTTCTAAACAGTATCTCGAGAAAGAGTACCATCTTAGAAACGGTAGCACTTTATAACATAAAACCGCCCGTACTTCTCTATATAGAACCGTATATGGCATTTCTCTCTAGGTAAAATATTTTACACTCAGTTTTGAAACTTGCCTATTAACTCGTGACAGTTGTATACAGCACTCAGCTTGCTGACCCAAATGTCACTGGACGTATCATGACCGATAGATCACTTTTTCGACGTAAGCGATAGTGAGAGAAGGTCGTACACGCTGATTTAGGAGCAGGTTAGATAACCCCAGGTAATCTAAATTTGCGAAGCCCTCCACTACGGAAAGCCGCATAATCATTGCATGATTTTGACAGGCCAAATTTTCTCGACCACCATTATCCACTATTTGGAATATTGCTTGTAAACAGTTTTCAGGAAACTATTTTGTACTCTTCATATAAATGTGCTAGAATACGCGCTTTTTTAATCAGTTTAGGTCTAGGTCTGTTTCTTCGTCTGGAATTATTTCTTAGTTCCTACTTTCCTTGTGGTTGTTGTGGTTAGGAAGGCTTAATGCCTGTTATTGCGTGCGCCTTCAAAGGCATGAACACTGCACTAGTAGTAAGTGGCTTCTCTCACCTGAAGCTGTTCAATTGTGTCGCGAACGTAATCCCGCAGTCTTCGCATTTTTTTCCGCACTTTTTCTGACAGCTCGGTCTGTCTCTCTAATAGCTGCTACGTCTGCTTCCATAACCCCTGCAGGTAGAAGAAATAAATTAAACAATGATTAAAAATCACTAAATCGTCCTTGTCGAAGATCAATGAAGCATATGCGAAAAGTTTCAGAAACAGCGAAATGCAGCTAATGCACTAAACTTGAAACATATTAGGTTCCATTACCTAAAGGAGACTGCCTTTGCTTGTGAAAGATGAGCTGCAAAAAAATATATTTGTCTTGATTGAACTTTGTCTGTTTTGAACGGGTTCAATAAGCCCCCATACTGCATTCATGTTTGCAAGATAGAACACCGTTATTGAGGGCTACTAACCGTATGCATATAATCCACTGCGCATTGTCTGTGGTTGCTTCAGGCTTACAGATTGCCCGATTTTTAGAATTTGCAGCAGAACAAAACGAAATCTCACGATTATTGAAAGGTATCTTCAATCACCCCCAGAAGCTGCAGCAGAGTCAATTTAAGTACAGCCACCACAGCCTAAAGGCCTTCTCCCCGCATTCCGGCAACCAACCCGGTTCTGTGCTATCCTTCTACCCACGTTATGTCGCATTTCATAATCTTATCTGCCCCAAGCTTAATTTTTCTTTCTCCCTCCCACTCGCATAGCCTTCTCGTGGGATTCTACCCTTAATGGATCTACCCTTAATGAATCTACCCTCATGATCTACTACCCTTACTGACCAACAGTTATTCCGGGTGTGCTACATGTCCGTCCTTTGGTACCATATCTTTTCCCGAATTCAACAGTACTATTTTTACATTGGTTTGTTTCTGACCTACTCTACTCTCTTCCTGTCCGTTAAGGTTACAACAATCATTTCGATTTCAGCACCTTACAGCGTTGTCCTTCTTTTATGTTAACCACTTTTTGCAAGCCTTCGGGTACTCATCCGCAGGGTAAGTATCGGTAAGATGCAGCGGTTACGTACCTCCCTGAAAAATAATACCTGTACACCACTAGGTGAACTATGGACTTCTGTTCACTGCACTCCTGCTACGCGTAATTGACTTTTTTGACCACCGAGTCTTGCATGCTACGTCGTTGGGGAACACCAATAACCGATCAATGTTTATAAACTTTGATCGGGTTCACACATAACCAATGCAGCAATATCACCTAAAGTTGAATGTTTTCATAAACTTGGGGGCTAATTTAAACTCGCATTCTGGACTAATAACCCGCGGATCACGGGTTTGAATCATTGCTGCGCCTGCCACACATCTTATAGAGGCGTAATGCTGAAGGCCCGTGTACCTATAGATTAAGCTGCAAGTTAAGGAACAGCAGAGGTCGGGAGTTGCTGAGCATTCCTGGGCGGTGTACTGGAGCAACGGTTAATAACTTCAGCATACTACAAAGTATTTACCTGCACCTGTCACTGTACGAATGTGTCAAGCACCTACGAAGAAGCTTACCTCAGGTACTCACGGCCTTGACAAGGACCGCTAGAACTCGCTTGTTCATAGCCAGGACAAGGACGACCTGGGTATGGTCGCACCAGGAATTCACGCATCCCTTTGATGGTGGACTCCAACCTGGCCAGGCGCTCGACGTGAATGTCATCTGCGCCTGTTGAGAGAGGTCTCTGTTGTAATTTCTATGCCCCATGATAGGGCTTGTCAAAATGGCTGATTGGGCGATTTGGTGATTCACAATACTTCAAATACGAGTGAGTAAATATAACAGGGACTTAGACAGAGAACAGGAAGTCAACGTAATCAGGAAAAGTTTATAGGATGTTCTATTGGAACATTTATTCCTGTTGTATATACATGTCGATATTTTCCCAATAAACTTTAAACTTGTAGTATGCTCTTGCCTTCATTTTCCAAAGTACCCGTCTAAGTTACGCCCTCGTATTTCAGGTACATTCACTGAACGTGGCTGTCTCATTAGCGCTACGCGCACTGCTGATAACACAGGCGTGATGAAGCTTCCCCGTTAAGAGAATCAAAGTTCTATCGCAGGCCATGAGGTCCGTACAAAAGGCAGCATGCTTCACCCTGCCCCCTTCTTTACGCAAGTGAAGGTCGGAACTAAACACTTCTCGGCGTGAAACATCAGGAGCCTATTGTCGCGATCCCCCAAAACTTGCATGGTCGTAACTCTGCTCGTTAACCATTGGATGAATATCACCGACTAAGTAAAAAAAAAGTAGCAAACTGTATGCAGCAAATAAATACTGGGACCACGCTTAGGCGAATACTAAATTAGGCTATCTCCTCCCCCCCCCCCCCCCCCGAATCTGGCCCTCCACTGCGCACGCCTTGGGCTAATGACGATTGCAGCATATATTTAAAAAGGAGAGCGCGAAAACTAAACGAGGGTACGAAAAGAAGTACAACGGACTACACAGCGCCTGCAGTGTTTTACGTTTTCTCGCGTCCTTATTTTTGCGCTTGCCATGTAGGGATGCATAACTAATGGTAAATCACGCTTCTAATAGACTCTTGCATTCATTCTGTATAATACATACACACAGAAAACCACTGCAAATCAAGCCCTCCGCCTATGAATTTTAAACCTACCATTGTTAACTGTTGACAACTGGTTCGACGACTACGATTCAGCGACACGTTTACATCTTCCCATCTCCAACGCTTCCTCATCTTCTTTTTATTAACAAAACACTTGTTCCTTCCTCGCTCATACAAATAACTACAGCACCCCCTCCCTCCCTGACCACACTCTCACACCCGCGAATCCCATGTGGCCTCTCCTTTTTTGTTAGGATGGAGGAGAGGGTACCAAGCGTAGAAATGCTAGCGCTAGATAAATTAGTTTATATTCTAGGCTTGGGGAAGACGAGTCTGCTTGTCGAAGCGTCGACTCAACAAAACTCCTGCTTACCAATTTTTCATCGAGAGGTTCCATCTTCTCCTTCCTATCGTTTTTTATTTGCAACTTGGCCATTTAAGAATGCACAACTAAATAGCAACTGCCTTTGATAAAGCTTTAAGTATAGTGGAATGAGCCTGCGTCTCTTATTTGCTACCGCTATTGGATGCACTGTTGAAGTAAAGAAACAGTAAATTTTCCAGAAGCTTTTGCAAGCTTGTTTTATTGAGCATTACTGTTAAGGTCAGCATGCAGCGTTGGTTGCCTTTGTATTCCTGAACATGCGTTAGATAAAAAAATACACATCAAAACAAACCCCATTTAGCCAAATTTAGTGCAGTCTCACCAGTGAGCATTGTAGGATCGAAAATCTTTTTATTTCGGTTGGACTGCCTCACCGCGTCTCCCCCTTGTATAGAGGCCTCCGTCGAGCTGAAATTAAAAAAAAAAACGTGTCCACAGAGAAGCGGCTTCGCTATTATTTGTATGTTAGGTTCAAATTATATCGGGTAATTTAACTTGCTTGTGTATAGGTGCAGTGCCTTTTTTCTCACACCAATTAAAGCTACGTTTTAGATGCTTATTAAATTACAGGCCAGAAACTGCAGCGCTCGGGGTGCAACATTGACGTCACATACCCGCCTGACACTGCTACAAGTTTTTTTTGCACTTATGCATTTCGTATCATTAACATCAAATATTACGGTCGCGAAAACTCACTTCTGAAACGTGCTTAACACATACTGTGTATGCCAGCTATTTCTGAACAAGGGAAAAGAATTACAATATTACAAGTATCCAAGAGAAATCAGTTGCATATTCCTGACAGCGACCTTGTGCACCACAGAAAATGTTTTGTTTTGTAATTCGTTACTCTCAAATATGATTCGTTATTTATTTGCTAAGTAACATTTTCACGCAATAAATGGGACTCTGAAAGTTCAAGAGCCTCCTCAGAAACCCCAATACATTATTTCCAATAAAAAAAGTATCATTTTTATTATTTTATTGAAGCCACCAAGAAAGCTCAGTAAGATACAAAGGCCCATTGCCAGTCAGTTGGCGCGCGTGACTGTGAAAATCGTTGCCAGCCAACGCCTCCTAAAAAAATGGCAGCATATCCACGGAGTGAATGATGGAGAGTGGGGCGAAGCATTCGTCCGTCCATGCGTCCGTATGTGTGACCGTCCATGCGTCTGTTCGTGCGCCCGTCCCTGCATTCGTTCATGCATCCGCCCCTGCGTCCGTTCATGCGTCCATCCATGCATCTGTCTGTGTGTCCGTTCGTCCATCTATTCAACACTCCAAGTCCCACCATCTCGCATCTTTTTATCATATATTCCCCATATAGAAGCACCGTCATTCAGTGGACATACCAAGGACTAAACGAGAAGTGGCACACGCACACTTTCTTACGGCTTGCGCTTCAAGTGTACTTCCCAACTTCAACCACCTTGAGTTCATGGTATATACTAGTTCACTGTATTCATGGCACTGCGGCCCAATGCTCGCTAAACCTTTTTAAAACCAAGGAGGTTACGCCCAGCGAGTATAACGTAGCAACCCTTTCTTGTCCGATAGTGCTCAATGTACATGCCAATGGCTGCTAATGGGGATCACAGCGTGCGTGTTGACTAAAAGCCAAATTCTTGTCTCATTCCCCATTAGCAGCCATTGGCATGTATATGAGCACTATTTTTATTGTTAAACAACGCACAGAAGAAATCTCTCACCGGCACCACCTTGGAGGTCGAATGTTATACCTATTTCGGGTATGTGCCACTGGCTGTTGCGTACTACGAGGGACGCCCAAGCGACGCCATAAGGAGCTTCGCCCCTAAAAATTATGCCTGGAACGTAAGCCGCGAACGCGCTGCCCTACCCTTTGATTTTACCCCCTTCCTTCAGTACGAAGGTGAGCGTCTCGACGGCCACCCCCTGCGAACACAGCAATGCTCTCACAGTGCCTCCGAGCAGCCGTGATGTCACGTGACAGGACGGTACGGTTATGTCACGTGACTGAGCGGTACGGAGGCGAGCGGTCTCACACGGCGGCCGGTCGCAACACAAGGCAGGAGGCATGGCCTCCGAGATTGCGTGCTGGCAGGAGGCTCCCAATCGAAGGAGAGCGACGTTCCAGGCATAGTTTTTCTAGGAGGCGTTGCGCCAGCGCGGGCTAGGAAATCGCCGCTAACTTGACGGCCTACCGCTGCAAAGGATCTGGCCAGCCGTGGCCGCAGCTGATTTCGTCCGTTCGAGCCACTGCTGAGAGCAGCACGTGGGCGGCTCGTGAATGCGCTTGTCACGTGGTTCTCTCTGTATGTCCCGGGCTTTATATGCAGCTTGGAAAAATATTGTATAGGTGAGACTTTCTTCATGGCCATTTATTATAATCCCTATATTGCTACAATTACGGAATAACATTATCGATACAAAGACGCAGCGAATGAAGTTAATAGATAAAGTATTGGCGAGACATTAACTACCGAGGCGCATAGTCTATGAAGTTAGCACCTATGCAAAGAAAGAAAACAGTTCAGTGGTTGTCCCTCGCAAAAGTTTTCAAAATGGCTAGCCTAACACAAACAAATCGTCTTTTTAGAGATACAACACTGAAACGTATATGTGTGCACAGCACATTTTAAAAAATCTGGAGCCCCCCCTCCCCCCTAATATCTTTGGCAGAATCACGAACACTACGACATAAACATGCATACACTATCAAAGAATACTCTTCCAACAACGACTGCTTCAAGCAATCCTTTTTCCCCCTGTCAATCAGCGAATGGAATAGGTTAGATCCCTCCATTACTAACGCACCATCACTGGCAGAATTCACTTCAAAAATTGAGACTATACTTTGAGACAACGGCTTTCTTCAACCATGACCTCCATTATTGTTTTCCAGTAGTATTTATTTGGATGTATAAGTATACACAATGCCTCCTCTGTATAAAACTGTATTGATTCTTTTTATGCAGCAAAGATTCAGTTCGCTGCTTCCGAAGTGTGAATATTTGGAGTGCATAAATACCTATGTGTAATGTTTCTATGTAACTAGGATTATTATTACCAATTTTAAAATAACTACAGTTCTGTATGCCGCCTGTAAGAAAGTACTTAGCATTCATTGTATTCTGAAACTCATGCCCTCCTGTTTTGGTCTCGTAAGAGACTGGCAATATTGTAAATAATAATAATAATAATATGGTGCGATGCAGTGGTTTAGTTTTTCAACATGACCTCGCGTCATCCCTCCTAGAAATGTCTGCGAATTCGCTTAGAGACCATGACGGTTTTACCTTCAATTGACCATTTTTCCACCAACTGCCCTAAGTGTCATTCATTTTTTCTCTTGAAAATCTTTGCAATGGTGCTTTTCAACCCGGTTACGTTTGCCTTTTCAAATCACAGTCACAAACTTGCGTCCTGATTATGTAAAGGACAATGACGCAGTTTATTATACTGAGGTCTTGTTACAAATTTTCTAATGCAATACGTACTGTAGCACTTTTTCTTTAAATTTTTTTCGGTTATCTTTTTTTAAAAAACTGTATAGCTGGTAACTTGACTTACTTATGAGTGCGAAAAGCTTTACTACGACTATGCATGCAACATATTACGCATTAAATTGTACTTTATGCCCCCTTCAGCCTATGCTTCTTCTAGAAACTTTGAGGTATTCCTAGATAAATGAATAATAAATAAATGTACTGGGTACTGTATGCCTCCTTCAACCTATGCATATCCTAAGAACTGTAAGGTATTCC